TGATGGTGTCCCGGTCATGTTGTGATGGTGTCCCGGTCATGTTTTGATGGCGTCCCGGTCGTGTTGTGACGGTGTCCCGGTCATGTTTTGATGGTGTCCCGGTCCTGTTGTGATGGTGTCCCGGTCCTGTTTTGGCGGTGTGCCGGTTATGTTTTGATGGTGTCCGGGTCATGTGACGGTGTCCCGGTCATGTTGTGATGGTGTCCTGGTCATCTTGTGATGGTTTTCCCGTCATGTCATGTTGGTGTCCCGGTCACCTTGTGATGGTGGTCATGTTGTGATTGTGTCCCAGTCATGTTGTGACGGTGTCCCAGTCATGTTGTGATGGTGTCTCGCTCATGTTGTGACGGTGTCCCGATCATGTTTTGATGGTGTCCCGGTCATGTTGTGATGGTGTCCTGGTCATGTTTTGGCGGTGTGCCGATTATGTTTTGATGGTGTCCGGGTCATGTGACGGTGTCCCGGTCATGTTGTGATAGTGTCCCGGTCATGTTGTGATGGTGTCCCCGTCATGTCATGCTGGTGTCCCGGTCACCTTGTGATGGTGTCCCGGTTATGTTGTGATGGTGTCCCAATCATGTTGTGACGGTGTCTCGGTCATGTTTTGATGGTGCCCTGGTCATTTTGTGATGGTGTCCCGGTTATGTGATGATGGTGTCCAAGGAAGAGATGGTCGATGTGTTGAAAACAGCAGCTGTTTCCAGATTTTTCTTTTTGTCCCGGTTTGTATCTTGCTATTGGGGTCTCCAGCTGGGCTAATTTCTCCACTGCCACGGGCTACGCTCAGTTGTTTCACGCACAGAAACGAAGTAGCATAAGCAATGCGCCCGCCTGCAGTTGGACGGAGATTCTAATTTCCCCCCTTGTCGAATTTTCGACCGACAAAATTAGAAAAATGAACACAACAAAACGGCAACTTTAGACGACAAATCTGTCAACTGGGGATTGTCTAATTTGGCAACTTTAGAGTTGTCATCATTGTTGCCTTTGGGCGAGTCTATCTAAAACTGAAGGGGGGGGTGGATCAAAGATCAAGCCAACCATGGACAGCAACACCCACCCCCACCATGAGCATCAAACAGCCAACCGACCCATGAACCAATCAACCAGCCGTAACCAGCCCTACCAGCCAATCAACTAACCAAATCTGAATTCATTAACCAACAGATTAGGTTTGTTTGAGATAAGTATCAACTAACCAGCCAAACAAACAGATTGAACAAACGAGACTTCTCTCAGTGAATCATGCGGACGAATTAGTCTTACTCACTCCTCGTTCCGGAGCCACAAGTGGCGACGAGCCAAGCAAGGCACTGGGTGCCCGCAGCAGTTCAGAGGGCGGCAAAGCCAGCGGCAGAGGCGTGGCGTCCGGTTTCACCACCCACGACAAGACGGGCGAAACGGCCGGCGTCGGGCACTGGAGCTGATGCTTTATAAAGGCTCCTGGTTAAGCTGGACACCGCCCCCCCTTGGGATCGCCAATGGAAGCCCTTTATTTACAGTATACTCATGGATCTCCGTTGGAGACCCTTGGAAGATCTAGCTATGTTCATGTTGTTTGACCAGCGGAGAATTCATCTAACGTGGTAGTGCTAGCGTCGATATAGTTTACAGTGTTCTAATGTTAAGTTAAGTTTTCCTAAAGATCATTAGAACATTGTAAACTATATCGATGCTAGCAGCTACTAGCACTACCACGTTAGAAATCATTACATAGTTAAAGTTTCACTAATGTTAAGTGAAAAATTGAGGATTCAAATCACTTGTGCTAGCACTGGCGAAGGAAGCTTCCTGCGTCCAGTCTACCGGTAGGGTACTAGTCGGAAACGAAAAAAAGCAACCTAGCTACTACATGCTACTACCTCTACAGGAGAGAGGAGCTGGCCGTTTTTGTCCCTTTTGTCTTGGACCTGGGATCCAGACACGGAGACGAGGGACCCAGAGATGAGCGGGCTTTTGTTCACAAACCAGGAGAAGGTTGGTCCTAGTGTTCGTAGAATGTTGGGGTGTGACTTCATTCAACTGAATGTTCAACCTACAGGGCGACCTAGCAGCTAGCAGATCAAGGACCTCATGTCACTGGTTCCGGTCATACAGAAAGAGTACGAGGTCCAGGAGTCAGGAGCGGGTTTGACTTGGTCCAACGGGACCGACACATCCAGCTGATCAGTGACCTGACCGGTCTTTCCGACGAATGGTACTCACAGTGGTTGAAGCAAACTCGCACACATCAGCTTTCCAACCAACCTACCTACCTGCCTGTTTGCCTACCTATCTACCTACCTGCAGATCCATGTTCAGGGTTCCACATTGTTTTCCTTGCTCCATAGGTCAATGAAGCAGAATAAACACATGATCTCGAGTTTCGGAGGCCTCACAAGATTGTTAGGCAGTTTGACGTGAACTAGTGTGTCCAGTGGACAGGTTTAGACCGGTCTAGACAAGTCTAGAGGCTACGTTGACAAAGTCTTTTGAACATGTTTGCTTTCGGATATCCCGCGATGGATGAATCTAGTAATTAGATGCCCTATGGCCAGCAGCTGGCTGACGCCTATGGCAAGCAGAAGAGGGAAAAGAGGAATCCCACTCTTTTTTTTCCAGTTAGGCATCATCTTCGCTATTTGATCCTTGGGATTTGTTGACCCGCTTTTCAGACCACTGTCAGACCACCCTTGACCTGCGCAACGGATGAGCAGGTCTCGAACTCGAGCGGCGCGACCCAGTTCCATCTAGCCACTGGGGCTCTCAGGCCTGGCGCCAGTTCCGCGCTCGTCCGAACAGGTCTGAAAAGACGAGTGAAAAGACACTCAACGAGGCGAGCTTCGACACTCCCAGGTAGGTCAACCAAGTGTCTTTTGGTTTTGACTAGTGTTGACCAAGAACTTCCTGAAAGACTATGGAAATAATCAGGGTGATGTGGATGGCATGGTTGATGACCATCGGATGACCATGTTCCAGAGAACAAACAGGTGGTGAACTCCGGGACTTAAGATTTTGAATCTTTGCGAAAGGTTTTATAATCTTAATAAAAGTTCCGGATGGTTTTTGACACCAATCACCTGGAACATTTTCTGAGTGAAGCTCGCAGCGGTAATGAAGCAACACCCCTGCAAAAAATGGTAAAGTGATTTGTGTGCCCCCCCCGGGGCGCGGAACACTCGACGTTTCTCGGGTCCGGGGATGGAAACACCACGCGGTTGTCTTCGGGTCGTCGGTCGTCACCTGCTGAGATGGATACGGCCAACGAAGCTGTTCAGCTTCACAGTCAGATGGAGCCACAGAAGTCACATGACTGATGTGACGAGGGCCCGTCATATACTATGTACCGACGAAAGTCTCGGGTGGTTTGCAGGGTCAATGTATAGTTTGTCCCAGGACAACCAGTTTTCAGTGGGTCAAAGATCATTCTGTACTTGGTGGAGAATTGTTTTTGTGTTGTTGTTTTTTCTAAGCATCATCATCCACTGTTGTCCAATGGGCATGAAACAAAGTAAACGTGACCAACATATTATCGCCATGACCTTGGAAAGAACTTCACCTTCACCGAGTCACCCCTGTGTTCTTCCACTTTTTTGCACTTGTCGACTGGTTATATACAAGAGCGATGGCCTCCAACTGTTAACCCTTCGGGGTGACACCCAATCCGAATCCTTCGACCCAGATGATCTAATCCTAATGGTTGAACCATGTCTCCCGCGCCGCTGGCGTTTTTGGGGGGCGGTCTGCTTCCACCCGGTGAAGGAGCTGGACCTCACCCCGCAGCACAACGTCGTGGGGCCGCCAATCCACTTGGAGGCGGACCGGACGAGGGACGGAGCGGGGCGTGACCGGAAGGGTTCCCAAAGGCATCGGGGTTCCCACCATGTGATGTGGAGGTTGTGATGTGATGTGGACGAACATTTGGGAGAAGCTGATTGGGTTCAATTATAAGATTTCCAGACTCCGGTGACGGGGCAAAGCATTTGGTGAGTTTGCAGTTCTGTGGAGAGATTTTGAGTCCAACGACCCAAAGCATGGAGAAGGTGCTCTGCAGGGTAGAGTGGATTCGTGGAATTCATGGAGTAATTGTCTAAGTTCCTGCTCAAAGCCGCTTCAAGTGTTTTCAAGCGGATACCAGTGGGAGGACTACATTTCTGTGCCTTCTTGTCCAACCGGTCTTAGATCTTATCTCAACCTGGAAAACTGTAGGGTTCTCACCAACACTAAAGGCTTCCTTTCCTGTCACCAGAGTCTGACTAACCACCAGTGTTCCAGGCCATTTGCCTTTGCTCTGCAAGAACTCCACCTCTCCCTACTGGCTTTCACGATTTCGTTGGGTTTTCTTACTGGGCTTCGTTTCAAGAAGGCTTCCAAACCAGGCCTCCAGGATCACCAGGCCTCCCGTGGCGGCGCTCCAAGCGCTGGCACCGCCAGGATGGACCGGGCCGCCACAGCGGCCCCCCCGGCGGCGCGAGTCGTGGGCGGTCGGACCAGGAGGAGCGGCCGGGGCGGCGGTTGATCAACCTGCCAGGTAGAAGAGGATGTTCCTATTTGACCGGGAGGGGCTACATGACGTTCTTTTGGAAAGGAGCAGGTGTGGGGGTTCTTCTTCAAACCACAAGATCGGGTCTGGGCTAGTCAGGCAGGTGTGTTGCCAACTAGATACGGTAAGGGTACCTTTTCTTTTTGGCCATCAAGGATAGCCACTCGAGGGGTGAAAGGGCGAGAGTTGTTGCTACAGGGAGTCCTGATGTCTACTGGTATGATTTTTGTATTTTCTAAGTAAGCGATGTACATATTATACTTCTATCTACCTCGTTCTTTGGCTCAAGTGAAAAGGTGTGCAGTATTGGCTGTTTACCTATAAACATAACTTTGATGTTGAGTAAGTTGTTGAGTACTAAGATTGCCACGTGTTTCCGACTCATTGCTTGTGCTGCCAGGTGCGATCTTTTAGCTTGAAGTTTGGTGATGATTTCAACCAAAGCATGGACAGTTGATGACCTTTGCAACCAGAGCCTGGAACATGTGACCTTGCCAATAATTTTGGCTCAAGATGTGTGCATTTTGCGCGTAAAAGGAGCGCGGTTTTGCTTTGCATTCATGATTTTGAACCTGTGCTGAACGCACAAATCGAGAAGTGAACCTAAGAAGGACACAGCACATATCGAGAAGTGTCCAAGAAATAGTTTGAGAGATTCAACATAATTTGCTTTGAAAGGAGATTTGATTTGACGTGATTTGTGAAAGTGAGAGCAAGTGAGAACTGGAAAGAGCGAGAAACATACACCGATTGAAAATGCCTTTGGAACAGCCAAGTGACTATCCGAAAGCGGCATTGCAAGCACACAACTCTCTCTCTGCTCCAACTCATTTCTCTCCCGTTCCAGACACACCAGAGTCACAGGTTATGAGCCCAAACACGGGCTCTGCCTCTTCAGTCTTGCCTCCAATTCCACCTTTTCCAGTGCACCTACGGCGAGTAGAGATGTCGGAGGTGGCCCTGTCTCACGAGATGTTACAGCAGATAGCCAGTCTAGTGAACTCAGGTCCTGAGGCAATGAATGTAGATGATGGGGCAGAGTTGTCACAAGCTGTTCGTGAAATAGCTTCCCAGATGAAAGGTCGAACTGAAATCCTTGCAGGTGCATTACAAAGTGTGGCCACAAGCACCCAGGGAATCAGCGATCGTGTTGTATTGCTTGAGCAGCAGCTCACAGAAAGCAACCGCAGAGAACAGATGTTAGTCGACCGTCTCCAAGCCTTCTCCAAGTCACAAGAAGGTCGGCTGAAGAGTGTAGAATCCACAATGGAAACCATAGGGCAAGCCTTGCAGGCCATGCAGCAAGCAATAACAGCTATGCAAGCCTCCCTTGAAGAACACCGTAGTTTGACAAAAGCTAGCACAGATCGGGCAGAAGTCAGTCAGACAGATGCCGCTCTGCGCGTCAGTGTGTTGGAGGACCAACATCAGACTATGATGGACCTAGTCAACCAACTGTCCATCCAACAAGTGCCTGCAGATGCGCAACAGGGGCAAGGTATAGCAGGATACATGTCTCCAGTTGCAACTGCTCGGCCAGAACACTTCTCCCTCACCCCATCGCCGGCAGAGCCAGACACGGGTGGTGAGGATGAATGGTGGGACGCTGCTGATGGGCCGCACGCAGTGCCGCCTGGCTTTCCACAACCAGCGATCACACAATCAGTGCCTGTGAGCCTGCCACCAGCCCAGATGCATGTGCAGCAACCGGTGCCAGTCAGTCAACAACCGCTTCCTGTCAGCGGTGCGCACCCAGCACCATGTGATTTGTTTGACGATGGTGTTGACTACAGAAAAGATGGAGTCTGGAAGGTCTTGAAAGACATTCCAAAGCTTGAAATAAGCCCTGGCGAATCTTGGGAAAGGGCGCTTCAGCTCAGTGTCTGGAAGGCTGAGCTCATGGCCATTGCGCATGCGGTTGGCCGACGGTGGTTTCTCTTTCTGCAAGAAAGATTTCAGCAAGCTGAATTTGTATATGAGCAGCGCCAGATCGGCAAACTGTCTACTTATGAGTACTTGGACGAAGACATGGAAAGTAGATCTCAGTGTGCCGGCTCTTTCTTCCACGAGTTTGAAAGTCGGTGCTGCATCATGTTGATGAAAACCTTGCCGGAGGAAGTGAAGAGGCCTGTCCTGGAATACTCTTCCAGGGCCAAGGTCACAAGTCAAAAGTTGTTGGTGTCATTGCTTGAAGTTTTGAATCCTGGCGGTAAGGAGGAAGTCAAGTCTCTACAGCAATGGGTGCGCTCACCGCCAACCTCACAGACTTTTGACGAGGCTTTCAAGGTGCTACGCCGGTGGCAGCTAGCAGTGTCACGTCTTTCAACGCTCGGCCTGCCGCCGCTTTCTGCCCATGAAAAGCTGGGCGCATTGGATTCAATCCTCCAAAAGTTGGAAAAGAAGTCTGAGCCTTTGAGATTCAAGCTGCAGGCTCTTAGAATGGCGCCTGAAATCCGCAGACCCCAAGATGCGGCTGTCCAGCAGATGCTTTCGCAAGTGGAGGAAGAAGTCCGTATTCTGCAAGCAGATGAGAGGACCAATTTCAACCGGCAAGGCTTTGTTGAAACAGTTTTTCGAGCAGAAGTAAAGCAAGCTTCCAGACCAGCCCCTACCAAGAATTTCTGTCAGTTCTTTGCGCAGGGGCATTGCAAGAAGGGGGACCAGTGTACTTTCCCACACCTCTCTCCTTGTAGATTCTTTGCCCTGGGTCACTGCAAGCACGGAGATGGCTGTCGGTACCCGCACATCAAGGGTACTTCTGGGGCTCCAAGGGCTCCCCCAAAGGCGCATAGTGCCAAGGCAGGACCAAAAAGGCCTGAAGCCAAGTCCAAGAAAGCTGCAGCAGCGGAAGGCTCTGTGATCGATGATGGGCAAGCTCGAGCATCTTCAGTTCGCTCACTAGCTATGGCAGCATCTACTCCACCTGCGCCTGTGGCAAACCACGCCACTTCAGGCGATGAGCGAATGGTTCTCATTGATTCGGGAGCTAATGAAGTTATTCGCCCTTTTCGCCCAGAACTGGAGAAACAACTGCAGAAGTTGTCAGCCATACAAGTGGCCCTTGCAAGTGGTGAGGCGGTTTCAGCGTACAGAACTAGAGATGGTGAATTAATTCTCCCTGTCGCAGCCGGTGCATCAGCAGAATGGATTGTGCCGTTAGAGCGGCTCACCGTGGGTTTAAATTGCATCTTCTCCTGGAGGGGGGCAGATGGCAACCCAACGTTGCATGTCCCTCAAGAAAATGGCGCTTTCCAACCAATTCAGGTGATCTTGAAGAATCGCCTTCCATACATCTCCTGGGCAGATTTCCAGCCTTTGAGGAGGAGGCTGGCAAAACTGTGGCAAGGCAAGCCTGTCAGGTGTCTTGCATGCCAGGCCATTCCTTCAGCTGTGCACTCAGGTCCTTTGCCGAGCTCTTCTTCGTCAGAGCAGAGGGGCTTGCACCCTACTGCTTCAGTCGGTCGGGGACTTGATGTGAACAGCTCTGGCCAGCCAGACCTCCGGAATGAAAAGAACGAAGACGATTGCAAGGCCACTCGTCCAGCTGCGCGCCCAGGTCCTTTGCCGAGCTCTTCTTCGTCAGAGCAGAGGGGCTTGCTCCCTACTGCTTCAGTCGGTCGGGGACTTGAGGTGAACAGCTATGATCTGAATGAAAAGAATGAACACATATTTGAGATGGAAACGTTGCACACGCTGGGAAAGAAGCTGATGGCTTTGGGTTTCGGGCCTCCTCCTGAACCAAAGCCGGCTGACCACGAAGTCTTTCATTGCAATTCTTGCAGGGCTGCTGTTTCTAGGATCATTGACCTTGAAGATGAAGATGTTCCAGTTGAAGTGGCAGGGGGTTCTTCTGAACTTTGTCCCGAGAAGGCGGCTTTGAAGAACTTGCAAGACCGCTGTCAACAAGGTCTTTATGACCGACAGTGCGAAACTTGTTTGAAGTCCAAGGGTTACAGGAGACCGCATCGGAAGCTAGCAGCAGAGAGCATTTCAAACGGCGTGTTGTCAATGGATCTGTCTGGTCCACATCCAACAAGCCTTGATGGTCACAAGTACATGCTTGTCACAGCTCTCCGACTTGCAAATGGTACGGTGCTTCCTTTTGTCAGAACGTTGCCAAACAAGGAGTCTTCAACCGTTCTTTCAGCTCTGCTTCAAGTCATGGCTCAGATCTCTTCAATGACTGGAGGTATAGCTGTGTACTTTCGAGTGCATTCAGATTGCGGTGGCGAGTTCACTGCAACCAAGGTCGTTGAACAAATTCATGCATTGGGACTCTGGAAGACAACCACCGCAGCTTACTCTCCTGAATCCAATGGTGTAGCTGAGCGAATGGTGCAACGCGTCAAGGATGATGCTACAAGATGCCTCCTGCATAGCGAGTTGCCGTTGCAATTTTGGACGTTTGCGGCCAGGCACAGTACCTTTACGGCTCGGCAGCGGGCCCTTGGCCTGCCAATTCCTGAGTCTGTGCCCAAGGTAGGGCAGAAGGTCCTTGTCAGAAAGGTAAATGCTGACTCCTTCTCAAGCCGATTGAATGAAGCAGTCTTCTTATGCGAAGATGAAACAGTCCCAAACGGAGCATGGAAGATCTTTTGGAACTGGTCAAGAAGCAGATGAGCAACACCGAGCCATCTTGGGATGACTTTTGCAAGTTTGGACATGGCTACCTGCTATCTCTTGACCACCGCAGCACAAAGCCCAAGTGCAAGGCTGTGAAACCAACGGTGTCTCAAGAGACCGCGAAGAACAGATACTACATACTTCCTTTTGAAATGGGGGAAGAAATGAATAGAACAGAAGCTGATACCAGAGAGCTGATGGCATCAGCTGAATCAGTTCCGCAGACAGTTCTCTGGAGTGATGACATCTCTGAGGAGGAGAGGGCAAAGTGGCTCCATGGTCTGCAAACAGAAATAGATACCATGACAACGGGAAAGCAAGTTCTTCGCGAAGTCACCCGTGCAGAAGCTCGAGACATTTGGGAACTGAGCTCTGTGACAGAATTGCCAACGCCAGTGCCGAGCAAATTGGTCCTGACTCGAAAGCCTGATGTTGCTGCTGCGCTGTTTGAAACATCAGCAGCTGCAGCTTGCAAAACAGCTCTTGACTCTTGGAAGGCACGAGTGCGTTTGGTAGCCTGCGGAAATTTCCAAGAGGACACTCAGGCGCACATGCTTGAAAACTCTTCCGCCAACCCTTCTCAAGAGCTCTTGAGGCTCTTGTTGTCTATGCTGGCTCGCCATCCAGACTGGTCTGCCCTGGTGCTAGACATTTCCTGCGCATTTCTCAATGCATCGCTTGACAATGAGAGAGTTCTCATTCGACCTCCACCTGCATTAGTCAAACTGGGCCTTGTTTCGCCACATGTACTCTGGATGGCTTTGCGTGCAATTTATGGCTTGCGTAAGGCTCCGAAGCTGTGGGAAGAAGAAAGAAACAAGACGCTTGATCACCGCGTCCTCAAGCAGACACCTGACTCAAAGCTGGGTGATGTGACTATGCAGCCGTTAGAATCAGGAGCTTGGCTCTTGCAGTGCGATGGTGCTTGCGTTGGGCTCTTCATGATGTATGTGGATGATGGACTGCTTGTGGGTCCATCTGAGATACTGACCCGCCTGGGACTCGAATTGATGAAAATTCGGCGATGCGCTGACCAAAGCATTTTGCTCCACCAGACACCATGGTTGGCACAGGAGCTCAACAAAAGAGGCTGGTTGCACATGAAAGGATCGCCATCACTTCCAAACATTCCTGAGGGCACAGTGGAACCTATGGTCAGAGATGACCAATACGCCGAAGCCTTAAAGAAGGTGCAAAGTGAAATTGGCTGTCTGCAATGGATTGCTCTTCGCAGCCGTCCAGACATTGCAGCCACCGTCGGTTCAGCTGCATGTATGTCAACAGTGCACCCTGGCCTTGTTTCCAAACTTTGCCAAGGTATTTATTTGGCGCTACCTGAGCGCCACTCGCAACCATGGCGTGCTTTTTTGTTCACTTCCTGATGGCCCTCACCTAGATGATACGCTGTGGTGTTACGGTGATGCAAGTCTGGCTCCGGGGGCAAGTCGCAGTCGCACAGGTGTAATCATCCTGTGGGGAGACCACATTATCTCTTGGAAGTCACAACGGCAAGCTCTTACTGCTTGGAGCGCTTTTGAAGCTGAGGTTGATGCCAGTGCCACAACATGCCAAACTGGTGTTCCACTCAAAATATTGCTAGAGCAAGTGGTGAGCGCTCCAGTAAGAATGGTTTTAGGAAGTGACAATGCAGCTTGCGTCGTCAACTGCGTGAAAGGTTCAAGTTCCACGGTGCCCACACGCACCCGCCACTTTGGAATGAGATGCGCCTACATTAGAGATCAGGCCAAACGTGAAGGGTTTGAGATTGAACATGTGGCTGGTACACAGATTCCTGCCGATGCGCTGACAAAAGTATTGCCACGATGTAGGCTGGAAGATTCGCGACAGAAGCTCAAAGTGCTGGCAGCTGAATGAAGGCAAAAATGGATGACTTTCTTACCATCCTTTTTGAGGAGGAGTGTTTCCGACTCATTGCTTGTGCTGCCAGGTGCGATCTTTTAGCTTGAAGTTTGGTGATGATTTCAACCAAAGCATGGACAGTTGATGACCTTTGCAACCATTGCCTGGAACATGTGACCTTACCTTTTCCTTTGGCTCAAGATGTGTGCATTTTGCGCGTAAAAGGAGCGCGGTTTTGCTTTGCATTCATGATTTTGAACCTGTGCTGAACGCACAAATCGAGAAGTGAACCTAAGAAGGACACAGCACATATCGAGAAGTGTCCAAGAAATAGTTTGAGAGATTCAACATAATTTGCTTTGAAAGGAGATTTGATTTGACGTGATTTGTGAAAGTGAGAGCAAGTGAGAACTGGAAAGAGCGAGAAACATACACCGATTGAAAATGCCTTTGGAACAGCCAAGTGACTATCCGAAAGCGGCATTGCAAGCACACAACTCTCTCTCTGCTCCAACTCATTTCTCTCCCGTTCCAGACACACCAGAGTCACACCACGCATGTCCCTACAGTGCCCAAGCATTCGACATACATTCGACCTCAGCTGCCCCCAGTTGTTGGAATCTGTTGACCATGCACTACCTATGTTTGGCCATGTTGTCCCTCAAGTTAGCCTGCACTGTGTAAGTGTGTTTCCGGCAAATCCTTGGTGAGGGGGGCAGAAGGAATGACAAAAATCAGACACTAATACATAATGCCCTTATTCGAACCACCATCTGATAACCTTGACCGAACAACCATGGAGAAAAATCAGAAGAGGATTACAGTGCAACACCAGGTCAACCATTTGTTAAATGTTTTCTTGAAAGCTAGGCCGGGGAAATCCAATTCTGCCCCGCATACTCTTCCAGCTGGTCAGTTGTTTTGAGGAAATCGAAGACCCTGACCTACCACAATTCCAAAGACAAGCTGCCAAATCTGTAAATCCACTTTGCCAAGCTCTGTCGCTTGCGTTTTTTTGCAATCCGACTGCATCCTCATGCATTCTCCGTCTGTAGGGCCTGGCAAAAGTGCTTCCTGTGACTCCTAATCCAAGACTTGCATGTTGAATCTGTACTAGCTTGTTTTGAATGTGTTCCGGGTTAAGGTTATCTCCATCGGAAATACATCCATGGATCCAGCAATAAACAATATGAACATCAGTGACATCCACGCACTAAGAACTGTTCGTGGGTTCTGGGAATAGGTTGAAACGTGTGAACGTCTATGGGCACTTTATCCCCGTGTTTTGGACGCCCCGAATCATCGTGCGTCGGGATGAGATGGGTGAAATGCGACGTGTGATCCCCAGACACGACGTCTTTGGGACTGGCACATTGACATACAGACAGGGGTGTTTGGTTTTCAGGGGTCTTTCTGGGGTGGCATATATACCAGTTCCATGTGTCGTGTACCAGTCCCATGGTGGTTGTTTGAAAAGGGGTCTGGCATATACACCATATATATATATATATACCAGACACCTGGACCCTCCAAGTCCGGTGGTTTTGGGACGCTAGAAAATAGACACCACTGGGTGTCATCCTGGCATGGAGTATTTGTGATCGCACTACCTCGCTCGATCGATGCGCTCGCAGGACCTCTCGCCACAGAGCGCTCGCAGCGGCACGGACTGCGGGATGGGTGGAGGGTGGACGCGATGGATGGGCGGATGAGAAGAGGAGGGGGAGCGAAAGCCAGGCAAAAAGGGTGTAAACTCGAAGCTTTTGGCTTTTGTCCCATTTATTGAATAAACCCGTCTCTGGCGAAGAACCTAAGGTTTTTGTGTCACAACGAAGAACTGGGGACCCTGCGGCGTCCTTGGCTCCGCGGTGGAGCGGCCGGCCGGATCGCTGAGTTTCCGTACCATCTACTCCTCTTCGGTGTTGGGATCCCAGGAGCATCTCCGACGCAACAAGATGTTGGGTGTGAAATAGAAGAGGGATACCTCTTGGGATCCAAAGTACCAAGCTATTTTGGTGTTTTGGTGCCAAAAGCAGGGCTCAAGAACCACTAGCGGGTCTAGATTGCTTGTTAGCCCCAGAGCTCACGTGAGCTCGATCTTTCGGGTTTCGCCATACCTGTGGCTTCACCTGCTTGGCACCGACGCTGTCGTGCCAAACGATCTGCGGCAAGGGCCTTTATCCAGAGGCATAGGCACCGGAGAGTGCTCAGCTGTAAGGTACTGGCTAAGCTTGTTCAGCTTTGCGATTTCCTTTCTGCTCACCATTCCAAGCCACGTTACTCCTTGGATTGCTTCAAGGTGGCTGCTATGACATGGCGAGGTCAACAGAATTGGAACCAAAAGGCCCAGGATTGGAAGAATGCCTGGCCTGTCGACAAGAAGAACCAAGACAAGCAGAAGAAGGCAAAAGAGAATCAGAACGCCAAGGAGAAGGAGAAGACCGAACGGCCTACCTTTTTCCTCAGCCACGATGGAAGAAAAGTTCCATTAGGTTCTGGTGGTGGAGCCTTTTCTGCGGCCTCGGCGTCTACCTCAGCACGAGCTGTACAGGAGGAGAATCGCCGCCTCAAAGAGGCCTTGAAGTTGATTTCGGAGAAGAGGACGGTCGACAATGGGGTATTGGAAGACTGTCAGAAGCTCATCCAGAATCCTCGCGAGCAGCTCCGAGAGAGACAGCGCGAGCTCAACAAGGAGAAAAAGACCCTGACTCGGCAAGAGAAGTTGGAGGCGACGATCAAGGAGACCGACGACAGCTACAAGAGCTGGCGGGCCGGTATGGAAGAGGGTCTAAAGCAGGAAGATGCCCGACATGTAGCGGAGATCGAGAAGCTGCAGCACGAGCTCAAGGAGCTTCAGGAGGGCAAAGACCCAGATGCTATGAAGGAAGACATGGACGACGAGAAGCTCTTGCGAGAAGGGTCAATGGCTCAGGAGCTATACGAAGTCCGGGAGAGTATGAAGGAGATGGCCTACCATGTGGAGACTTTGGAGCAGCGGAACCAAGAGATGGTGATGCAAATGAACTCTCAAGTGCAAGCCTTGGTCACAGCCATCAAAGGCAGCAAGCCGATCGAGCTCTTCAACGAGGGGTCACCACAGCTTATCAAGAAGCCTCAGGTCTACATGTCGCCGAGGACCAATTCACACGATCGCTCGAGATCTCCAGTGAAGAGGTCAGCAGAAGCGGCAGAGCTGAAGGATATTGGGGAGATCCATACAATGGTACGTCCGCTCCTCAAGAAGATCCCGGACGAGCACCATCACAAGATCATGGCTATCTTGGAGGCAGAGGGCGACAAGTATCAGACCCTGGAAGCCGCCGAGATCCTGATCCAGCAGGTCATGGTGCAACTTGGGCTGTATCCAGGGCATTCGAGTCTGGATTCACTAGACTCACCCAGCGAGGTTGCAGTTTTGCCCATAGGCCGAGGTGTTTTGCAGCCTTTTGGAGGTCCCAAATCCCTCAAGAAGTCGGAAGCCATGCCTGCTCGACCCAAGACAGGCGATCCCGGAAGGGAAATGTGAACTTGGCGGAAGGAATGACAAATGGTGGAGAGGAACCGACTCATTTGAAAGTCGAGACGCCCTCCTCCCAAAACTTTTTTGAAGTTTTCGGTGAGTCCTGTCCATTTCATGCAAGGGGTCCTTTGAGAGTTTGGTTTTGCGCTCTGTTTCAATTAGATAGCAGCATACCACCCACCCTGTTCTGGACATGGAATCGGATATTCCGCCTCTTTGATAATGTGCTCTATGGCAAGCAAGCAAGTGGGCATGGGGTTTTTGCTCACTGCGACGCTGGTGATTTTGGCTGGTGCTCAGGGTCCTCATGGTCTGAAGCTTTGAGGAACTGGTCTTCCGTGGTACCATGCTTTCCCAGCAGATCTATGCTTGCCTGCTTGGTATATAGTTTGATGTGGCTTGTATCATTTGGTATTTTGCTCTTCTACCATGAGAACTTCTTTCAGGAGCTCGATCCGGGGTGGAGGGCACGTCGTTTGATCCAAATGCCAACAAAAAGAACGAGCAGTGCTTTGGGTATTGCACAGATAGCTGCAGGAGGTGCCTTGTTAGGTATACTGGAGCAGCCAATACAAGATTATGAAGGAGATATCAATGTTGCAGCAATGGCCTTGATCCTACTATGCCGGATGCACTTTCTAGGGGGGGTTGGTTGCATTCTCCTTTTGGATTGCCAGGGGGCGGCTTGAAGAAAGGATGAGGCTACCATCTTGTGCAAACATGTGTGCTTGCGCCCGCCGCAGGCGCCCTCCACGAAGAAAAACAAAGGTCAGAGCAGCTGCATTTTTTCTGCTTCTCAACTTATGTTGTGCTGAAGCAGTGGCGGTGGAACGTGCGCTTCGGGCCCTACCAGAGGCCCATGATAGTGTCACGAACGATCCAGATGATCTCCCTCCTTTTTCGCCTTACGAGGGGGGATTTCGACATGAAGGCGATACTAGCTGACCAGAAGGCTTTGGAGATGGCCCAAAGGAACTGGGAAATTTTGATCGGCATGGCGAACATGACCTTGCTGAATGTGATGACAATCATCAAAGCCCAGCCGTTTTGTGCCATTGCCAAGCTCCTGTTCCTTCCACGAGGGATGGTAGAGCTAATTCGACCAGGCCACGTTTTGAGGCAGTGTCTGACGAGACTGCTGTGAGTGGGGATTATCCGTTTTTGGATGCTTTTCAATATCAAGATGGACCACAGAGGGGTAGTGTTTCTCTCTGTGACGTTGTGTATGGAGATAACACTGCAACTCCGGATGACTGTTGCTCCATTTTTTCTGTGGGGATGACAACCTCCTGGGTCCTAGAAACAGGACAGTGGTCAAGATCTCTCGATGGGACCTGCTGCCGCCGTTTGCTAGACGGAGAGAGAGGATTGTTCACTACGTGTGCGTGGGAACAAGGAGCAAACACTGCAACTCCTTTCAAAGACAAGCTGCCGGATGAAGATGATATCGAGCAGTATGTCAGACGCTTCTGGCATCTTGAGGAAGCTGCAATGTTTGTCTTTTCGACACAACGACTTCCCCCCTTGATGCAAAGGCAACTATCTGCTGCAGCGCCTACACAGGGAAGACCACTTTTTAAAGTTCTGTGTCGAAGTGCATCAAAGTGGGGTTTCCTTTCCTATTGCTGCATTGGAGACAACACTGCAACTCCAGCAACTTGTGATATTATGTCTTGTGAGACGGATGCACCGATCTGCCCTTCAGCCGCTTTTTTGAGGCTTGCGCTGTCACCTTGTGGACGACAGCAGGTGTTGACGGACAGCGGGCAGAAAGATGCAATAGACAATAGCAAGGTGGCGGGAGAGAACACTGCAACTCCTGGCGACAGAAGGAGAAAAGTTCTCTTCACCGGTTCCCAGAAGGGCTTGCGATATCCTTCCCAATGCAAGTATCAGCTAGATGCTGAGCATGAATTTTTCGACAGTGATAATTACGATCCAGTTTGGCTCATGCAAGGGCTCTCACCCCTGGAACCACGACAGCCCTTTGCAGTAGCAAGTGAGAGAGGCCGACCCCTTTTGGACGTATTGCGATTGGCGCGAAGAACCTTTACAGAAACCTGGCTGTCTCAGGGTCATGATGTGGCTTACACACGATTTCGACCTATTGAACCTGGCCTTTGGGAGAAGAAGATCTTAGGGTGGAAGTTCCTGGCATATGAACAGCCATTCGGAATCCCATTTTGTGCCCACCTGCTGAGAACAGGCCTATGGGCCTCACAGCTCATCAGCCCGTTTGAAGACGAGGGCTACCTTGAGATCCTCTTTGTCACAGTGACACCTCAGCCTCTGATGCTCTGCGTGGCTGGTAGCTGCAAGACTTTACACGACACGGCAGTTCTGGCCGTTGTTCAAGAGGTCTACAGCTCTGACAGATTGCTTTTGGTGGTGGAACATGCAATCCAAGGCACGCTCGAGGTTGGTTCGCTGCAATGTCCAATAGCCTGTACCCCAACTACGATATGTATCGAGTTGGGATTCGAGGAACGATGCCGAGGTCCTTGCATTGCACAAGTCTATTTCAGGCTAGAACAGACTGAACGCATCTTTACAGATGAAGACCGAATTGGCCTGCCGATGGGCTCCTTTGTTCACTTCAGTCTACGATGCCTGGAAGTTTGTGATGAGGAACTCCCAGCCCAAAGACCGGTCAGAGAGCATGAAATGCTGATTATAGCACAAGCCTCTCAGGAGCAGTCTCTGCCAACAACAGCGATTACTCCGATCGATGATGCAACTTCGATGATGCAGTTCGGATGGATGGCAGATATGGCGAATGATGAATCAGAGTATCTGCAAGGAGTCAAGGAGCTGGTTGACCGTGGAGAAGCAGGTTTCACATGGCCCTACCCAGATATGATCAAAATTGACCTTGTCACTGGGGCCACTGACCATTTGCGCTTCTTCCTGGCGACAGTATACAGCTTCGACGCCATCAAACTCTTCACGATCCATGTCTGGCAAGTACAGATTTCCGTGACTGCATATGCACGAATCTCTGTTATGAGACAGGAGAGATCTTTCACTGAGGCTCTGAAAAAAGATTGGAGCGACCTTGAGGAGGTTTTCCCAATGTGGGGAGCGCTTGCCAGTCCCCAACCTCTCCCATTGAACCTCCGGATTATGCCCATCGACATGATTCTACTC